TGGTAGTTGTGATGGTGATGATGATGGTGATGATAATGACTCTGATGAAGGTGATGATGGTAGTGGTGGTGATGATAATGTAATGGTAGTTGTGATGGTGATGATGATGGTGATGATAATGACTCTGATGAAGGTGATGATGGTAGTGGTGATGATAATGTAATGGTAGTTGTGATGGTGATGATGATGGTGATGATAATGACTCTGATGAAGGTGATGATGGTAGTGGTGGTGATGATAATGTAATGGTAGTTGTGATGGTGATGATGATGGTGATGATAATGACTCTGATGAAGGTGATGATGGTAGTGGTGATGATAATGTAATGGTAGTTGTGATGGTGATGATGATGGTGATGATAATGACTCTGATGAAGGTGATGATGGTAGTGGTGGTGATGATAATGTAATGGTAGTTGTGATGGTGATGATGATGGTGATGATAATGACTCTGATGAAGGTGATGATGGTAGTGGTGATGATAATGTAATGGTAATGGTGATGGTGATGGTGGTGATAATGACTCTGGTGAAGGTGATGATGGTAGTGGTGACGATGGTAGTGGGGATGATGTTGATAATGATGGATGATGGTGACAGTGGAGGTGATGATGGTGGAGATAGTGGTGCGATGATGGTGATGTTGGTAGTGATGGTGGTTTTGGCTATATCACAACACTTTGAAAAACATGTATTCTCTTTCTTAGAAAGGACAATTTATCCACATCATGCAGTATATATTCACTGCAATATTTACCGTTGAAATGTCCATCAAGGTACCGAATATTTTCTTCCCTAAACCTTGTGTGATCCCTTTATGATTCTTCAACACTTGACCACATTTTTGACTGACAAGTTTCTGAAAACTGTAACCGATATCTTACAAAATACCTTACTGACAGATGACACTATAGTCTTGAATTGTAGTTGACTTAACATCCAAAAACCCCATTTAGTCCTCCTAAGTATACTGTATCGAATGTGATGGTAAAATTTCTCGTACAGGTGATATCACTGGGGCTGATCGTCGGACCCAACACATATCTCAGGTCAGGCTGGAATATTATTGATGGTGTTCTAGTCCTCTTCTCATTGGTTGATCTTGTCATCTCCTTGACAACCAATAGCCAAAGTGGAATTCTAGGAGTGTTACGTGTGTTCCGGGCTTTCAGGACTCTTAGACCGTTACGGTAAGGAACCTTCAATATCATTTTATGAGGATTTTCCCATTCTGATCACTGGATCATGACTGGATGGCATGGAGAACAGTGAGATTTTCAAAACAATGAAAAGATAATGGAACATTCTGATCACTGGATCATGACTGGATGTTCACTATTTATATTAAGTTGCAAAGGACTATTCCACCTAACCTCTGACATTGCCGAGAAAGATAATATCGTTTAAATTTCTTGTACTTAGTGTGATAAATCGAGCTCCTGAACTGAAGTTGGTCGTGGAAACATTGCTGAGTTCTTTGAAACCAATTGGAAACGTTGTTTTAATCGCTGCTACCTTCTTTACTATTTTCGGAATTTTGGGTGTTCAGGTATGATTTGAATTGTGGACATGTTCATTGTTTTGGTCAATTTTGTGTACTGGTCTAACAATTAGGTTTCAGAACACTGAGGTCATGTACCAGCCAGCACTGAAACAGGACCCTCTTGTCACGATAGACAATACCCCTCTAAATACTGTGTTAAAATTTTTGTTTGTTGAGCAAATACGTATGTTTACCCTTACAGCTATTCAAGGGCAAGTTTTATTCTTGTCATGATGTGTCATCGACTATCGACATCAAAAACAAATCACAGTGTCTTTCAAACGCGGGCAAGTGGTTAAACAATGAATACAATTTTGATCATTTAGCTCGTGTAAGTAATTGTATTTTGTTATGATTTCCCAATACACAATTTCTCAACTAAATCGTGATCTGTACTCATGCGTTGTAAGATACGATCATATCTAGAGAGAACAGTTAGGAACTGTCCAGTATAAATGAAGTTAGTTTAGTTTTAAGTTTCCTCCTTTAGTAACACTGGATCAATAAAACATGACCTTTACTGGACCTCTAGGAAAAACAGTTTAGAACTGATAGAGCTATCTAATATAAATAAAGTTAGTTTAGTTTAGGTTTCCTCCTGTAGTAACACTGGATCAATAAGACATGATCATTACTGGACCTCTAGGAAGAACAGTTTAGAACTGATAGAGCTATCCAACATAAATAAAGATACTTTAGTTTAGGTTTTCTCCTGTAGTAACACTGGATCAATAGGAGATGATCCTTACTGGACCTCTAGGAAGAACAGTTTAGAACTGATAGAACTATCCAGCATAAATAAAGTTAGTTTAGTTTAGGTCTCTTCCTGTAGTAACACTGGATCAATAAGAGATGATCCTTACTGGACCTCTAGGAAGAACAGTTTAGAACTGATAGAACTATCCAGTATAAATAAAGTTAGTTTAGTTTAGGTTTCCTCCTGTTGTAACACTGGATCAATAAGAGATGATCCTTACTGGACCTCTAGGAAGAACAGTTTAGAACTGATAGAACTATCCAGTATAAATAAAACCAATTATTTGATAACTTTAATTTTTAGGCATTGTTAACACTTTTTGTGTTCGCAACACGGGATGGTTGGGTTTCTATAATGTACTCGGGCGTTGATGCCGTGGGGCCCGATCAACAACCTCAACGTGATTACGCGAAGTGGAACGTTTTATATTTCGTCGCATTTTTATTGCTCGCTGGCTTTGTTGTTCTCAATATGTTGGTTGGGATAGTCGTCGAGAATTTTCATAAATGTCGAAATGAATTGTTGAAAGAACAAAATGCCGAAAAAAGTGAAAAAATTGAGGTGAAAAACACGTCAAGAAGTAATTCAAGTAAGCTTACCAGTAAATATATATCATGATGATTGTGAGGGAATGGTGGCGATGATGGTGGTGGTGTCACTGGTGGTGGTGGTGATGTGATGTTGATAGTGGGGGAATGGTGGTGACGGTAGTGTTGTTGATACTGGTGGTGGTGATTTCATGATGATGGTGGGGGAATGGTGGCGATGGTGGTGGTGATGATACTGGTGTGGTGATGGTGATAATACTGGGTGATGGTGATGATGATGAAGAAGATAATGATGGCGATAATGTGGATGATCCAATCCCAGCCCAACAAACGTTTGAATTTTTGTGTTTAGTTTCAGATATAGATTATGAAGGATTTCCACCTTGGAGACAGAAAATTTTCTTGCTGGTTACTCATGATTATTTTGATTTGGCCATCGCTGTTGTTATTGGTATCAATGTGTTGTGTATGGCCATGGAACATTATGATCAACCCGAGGTATTAATATAGTAGCATAGTCCGTTGTGCTACCTTCCTACAGCATCCCATTGTATATTATACAACAGGAAATCATTCCAAGTCATAACATTATATACATGAGCGTGCTTATGAGACAGCACAATACGGGATTCTCATAAGCACGCTCATATATGTACCAAAATCCAGTGTGCTCGTGAGCACGACCATTAGCCGATTTTTATATATATATGAGCGTGCTTATGAGACACCACAATACGAGATTCTCATAAGCACGCCATATATGTACCAAAATCCAGTATGAGCACGACCAGTATGAGCACGACCAGTATCAGCGGATTTTTGTACATATATGAGCGTGCTTATGAGACAGCACAATACGAGATTTTTATAAGCACGCCTATATATGTACCAAAATCCAGTCTGCTCATGAGCACGACCAGTATCAGCGGATTTTGGTATATATATGAGCGTGCTTATGAGACAGCACAATACGAGATTTTTATAAGCACGCCTATATATGTACCAAAATTCAGTATGCTCATGAGCACGACCAGTATCAGCGGATTTTGGTATATATATGAGCGTGCTTATGAGACAGCACAATACGAGATTCTCATAAGCACATCCATGTATGTACTAAAATCCAGCATACTATACCATACCAAACCATACCATACCATAACCATACCATACCATAATAACCATACCAAACCATACCATACCATACCATACCATACCATACCATACAAAAACGTAAAACATAACTACACAAACAATAATTCTTACGGATCCTTTGTATTTTATTCTATTTTCTAGAACCTAACCCTGTTCCTCAAGTACGCTAATTATGTTTTCACCATCATGTTTATCATCGAAGCTATTTTGAAAATACTTGCTCTTGGTTTTAAAAACTATTTCAGAAACAGGTACCGCATTTTTGGCTGCTTGCAGTTAGGTAAAATTATGGATGTAGTTTTCGCTATAAATTCCCTCGCATAGAAATCCTTTACACAGTAACTGGGTTGGTCTGGTTTAATGAAGTGTTTTAGATTAAGAGTATTGTGGTGACGATTTTTTTAGGTGGAACTCTTTGGACATGATGATAGTGGTTCTCTCTATTGGTGGAATAATCTTAGACGAACTCGCCACGTCTAACTTTCCCATGAATCCAACCATTATCCGTGTGATGAGAGTGTTGAGAATTACAAGAGGTAAAATATGTTTCAAAATTTGTCATTATGAACACTTTGCATAGCAATGGTGCCATCCAGTGATCGATAGTTCAATTTCTAGCTTCAATTTAATGTAGGGGATGTCTCGTTCTGCATGGACCTCCAGAGAGAACTGATAGAGCTGTTCAGTATAAATAAAGTTAGTATAGTTTAGATTTCCTCCTGTTGTAACACTGGATCAATAAGAGATGATCCTTACTGGACCTCTAGGAAGAACAGTTTAGAACTGATAGAGCTATCCAGTATAAATAAAGTTAGTTTAGGTTTCCTCCTGTAGTAACACTGGATCAATAAGAGAGGATCCTTACTGGACCTCTAGGGAGAACAGTTTAGAACTGATAGAGTTATCCAATATTAAATAAAGTTAGTTTGCCTTGGTTGACAGCAACATCACTTGCACATTTTTGACGTGTGATTTTCATTCAAATAATTTCTTATCTAGTTCTCAAGCTCCTCAAAACAGCGGAAGGAATTCGTTCGTTGTTGGACACGGTTGGGAAAGCTCTGCCTCAAGTAAGGATTTCACAATATTCAAATACTGAAATCCAAATAGTGTATGAATCTCTGCATTGTTATTTCATAAAGTAGTCTTGTAAAGAAAGTGCAATAAATGAAACACTTCGTTTCAGGTTGCGAACCTTGGGATGTTGTTCTTACTTCTTTTCTTCATATTCGGAGCGTTGGGAATGGAATTGTTTGGAAATATATGTGAGTATCATCAGAATTTAGATTTTGTTATGTCTGATACACGAGTCACGTTTCACATTCTGTCGACATAGTAATCTAAGGTACTGATTGTTTTTTTATGCAACACTTCCCCTAGAATTGGGTTGATTCGAAAGATGTGCAAGTATACAAGTTGAGGCTTAACGTTGCGCCAGATTTTAAAATTCAACGTTAAGTTAGAATCAGTGTTAACAGGTGTTCGAAGAATAAAATTGAAATATACATAAATATTTTTATTTTTCCGTTCAATTTCAGCTTGCGAAAAAGTTGAATGCGAAGGTTTGGACACTCATGCACATTTCAGAAACTTTGGTTATTCTGTCTTGACTTTATTCCGAGTATCAACTGGTGACAACTGGAATGGAATATTGAAGGTAGATAAAAATCAACGCTCTTTTTATACTGGATAGCTCTATCAGTTCTAAACTGTTCTTCCTAGAGGCCCAGTAAGGATCATCTCTTATTGATCCAGTGTTACTACAGGAGGAAACCTAAACTAAACTAACTCTATTTATACTGGATAGCTCTATCAGTTCTAAACTGTTCTTCCTAGAGGCCCAGTAAGGATCATCTCTTATTGATCCAGTGTTACTACAGGAGGAAACCTAAACTAAACTAACTTTATTGATACCAGATAGCTCTATCAGTTCTAAACTGTTGTTCCTAGAGGTCCCATCAAACCATCATTTCTTTATTTTCTAGGACACGATAGACTCCAAACGGTGTGAAACAGGCGAGATCGAAGGCTGTGAAATCATTCAAAATATCGCTCCAATATACTTCGCCGCGTTCGTCTTAATTACACAATTTGTTCTGCTCAACGTAGTCGTCGCTGTCATGATGAAACATCTTGAAGAATCGAAATTCGAAGAAGCCAATACTATAAAGAACCACAGTCCTGGAACACCGAGGTTATTTCTAGGAAAACGAACCCCAGACACTCCTAGAAGATCTAGGAATTCTCCTCGGTTGTCCAAAGGATCTTTGCGGTCGCGGAAAAACGAGAGTGGAATATTGAAAAAGAAAGGGTCTCTAAGTGTTGATGGCGCCCAACGACGGACGAAAAGTCTAGACGAAATACGGAATAATAATTTGCACTTGAGTTATAATTCTGGCTCTGATTCGGATTGTTGCTTCGAAGATTTAAACCGTGAAAAAGTTAGCAAAGTTTCCAGTGATTTGAGGCAAAGGAAACCATCCGTGGATAATGAAAATTATTATGTGGAAATGCCTGTAATAAAAAAAGACCAAATTTCTGAAAAATCTAAGAGTCCTAATCAAGTTTTGGAAATTGTTGAAGTGGGCGACAGTGAGTGCTCGGCACCGTTAGTGAAGACCTCGGAACCATTCGTGAAGTCTTCGGAACTATTCGTGGAATCCTCAGAACCAATTGTGAAGGTCTCGGGATCGCTCGTGGAGGACTCGGGAGCGCTCGTAAAGCAGGAGAAAAATGAGAAGACAGACAAAGTGCCGAAAGACGATATAGGAATGAAAGAGAAAGATAATAAAGCAGACAGATTACAGAATGAAACGAAAGAAATGAATGAAACTGACAGAACGAGGAGGAAGGGAAATAAACGAATGAAGAAGAAGGATAGGTTAAAATATGAAGAGAAAGAAAGGTTTGATACCAAACCATCAGAGCAAAGCATTGAGGGACAGTCGAATCAAGTTGAACGGGAAGTCAAGGATGAAATTAGCAAAGATAGCAAGATAAAACAAGCTGATGTCTCGAAAGAAAGGAGAGGAGATCAAGAAGAGAACAACAAAGAAACATCACAAGAAGATGTAGGGAAAAGAGAGTTTGGTGATGATGTAATTGATGGGAAAGATGGTCAGAATATACCATTGAGAAAACTTGGGGGAAATCTTCAAGAAGCAAGGCATTTGAATGTGAAGGACAATTTGAATGAAACAACGAATATAGAACAGAATTTAAAGCAAACACATGATCAGAAAAGACTAGCGTTTGAAGAACTTGCAAAGAACAGACAAAACATCGAGCAGGACTCGGAAACTGAAATCAAATCTCACGAGGGCAGGGGAAGTCAGGAGCACAAAGAGACATTTGGGTTAATGGATAATAAAAGTGGAAAACAGGAATCACATAAGGAGCTTTTAAAGTTAAATGAAGGATTGAACCTGACGAATAATAATCAGAACGAATCCCAAGCGAACTTGATGGAGAATAACAATCAAAGACAGAGTTCACAAGAAGGGGTTTCTAAGATTTCAGACTCGCAACAAGAGGGAAATACAAGGACGCGATTTCACGGCATAAGGCTGGAACCTTTGCCAGATAATGTTACTAAATTAACACCGGCTAGCAATGAATGATGGGAAATAAATGATCGCACAGGAAACAAAGAAATGAGAATATACCAATTGACAGTTTCAGTTGCGCTGGGATTAAATGTTTACATAATTTATATGTCGAAACTGTGAATTGCAAACAAGCAAATTCTCAATGAACCATAACCTTTTCAGACACATTGTGTTGAGATTCTATGCCGGGTATTTTAAAACGGTCGTAATTGCACGTAGTTTTTTTTTTAGGAAAATAAAATATAGATTTTAGAGAAAATTTTGGGTACTTGAGCTTCATAAAATATTTTTTATAAACTGTTTCTGGAAGATAATTTGTGTCTTTAAAAAAGTGAAGTGACTGATTTTAAAGTGGCTTTCAGTAAGCACTCTCGTGCAGCAGAACAGATGGTGGTCAACCTGCAGTTATCACAGTGAGAAAATAATTTGAGTTGTTTTCATTTTAAGGAGTAGTTTTTGGAAGTAATGAAATTTAATTGAGAACGCTTGCTCCTATATAAAGTGTCAACATTTTTGTAAGTTTTTTTTTGTTGTTTTTTTGTTCAATGTCAAGTTCAAAGTTTTTGTTCAAAGTTTGCCAATGTCAGTGAATTGCCTGCTTTGGATTTAAAGATGATTGGTCAATTTTCAGAAAGAAGGAAAAATCTTTTTCAAGAGCCAATCAAATCGAAGTGTTTTTAGCCAATCCAATCTCAGTCATGATCCGTCCACGCACTTCGTGGAAGACATCTATTTAACCCGCGTGGATTATGCGTGTATTTTGGCGCGTGATTTTAAATCGCGGGATTTTAAGATGGCGGTTTATTTTCATCAAGTTTTTATATATTGAACATTTTTAATATTTTTACAAAGATTTTAGCTAAATTTTTATCACTATGGAGGGAATGATTGAACAAGTTATGTCTTTATGTCCTGGATGTGAGCGAGACGACGTCGAAAGAGATTTAAATATAACAGGAGACGTTGAAATGACCATAAATCACGCTTTGGATGGCATGGTATGATAATTATTTATGGGTGTGTTTTGACATAAAAACAATAGTTTTATAGTTTATTGTAGTTTTTAAGGTGAAGGGTATTGTTAGTATATTCCCGAATGAGAGTAGTTAAAAATATATAATTATATATTAAAATTGAATGCTTTAATGTAGAATTATGAAGCAAATTTATGAGCATTAATTGCGCATCATTAATACTATTGGGTAAAAGTCCAACACAATATAAATATCGGACTCAATGTACTGTATGGAGGGTACGTAGAATAGTGGGATTCTAGTGTTGTTGTATAACCACAGCTAATTCAAAAAAGGTAGATGCGGTACAGTCTGTATGTAAACAAAGGCTTTGTTTACATTTCGGTATCCAAAATATTGAATTTTATTCGACAACTATTTATATTTTCATGATTCTAGAGTATAATAAATGATTAAGAGACAACAATCAAGCTTTGCAGGAACATAAAATGAAATAAAAACCTAAATATACTGTTTGTAAATAAAAAGAGGGCTCCTTTGTGCACATGTGCAGATCAGACTGTAACCAAAAACTTTACAGTCTGGAGCCTAGATAAGATGCATGTTATTGATATGTTGCACGATTATTATAATATTTATTGGTTAATATGAAAATCTATTTTTACATTATTGTATAGTTGAGTTCAAGAAGTTCATCATTTGGTTCACCAAACCAAACTAACCCTGTAACCATAGTGATGGATGACGATGATGATGATGCCATGATAATGCCATCTTCAAAATTCACAAACATTAAAAAAAGAAGCGAAACCAAGAATGAATCAACCACAAGTAACTTTAATGCCACAGACCCAAGAATAACTGTCAAGCCTATTGAAATTTCAAAAACAACAAACAATGACCATAAAATATCTTTTGATCTCACAGACTCTGATTCAGAATTAACAGATGCCTCGGTAACTTGTAGAAAAACTTTGGAAAGACTTAAATCTAGTATAATTAATTTGGAAGCTTCAACATCAAAGGAATCTGTGCCTTCGAGCCCAGATTCAGACTCAGAATTATTGAAACCAGCTTTTGACTATGATCACACTCGGAGTACCAGTAATAATTTTTCAGCAAAGATATGTTCAAAAGGGAATTTCTCAGAGACAGTTGTGAATAAAAGTAAGGATTGTCATATTGTCGATTCTGGTGTGGAAATGGTCAGGGGATTTAAAGGGAGTTCAGAATCAATACAAGATGAAGAAGATGTTTGTTTGGACGAACCTGTAAAGAAGAAAAAAAGAACAAGGGAACAGGTTGAGGAAAGGAAGCGAGAAGCTATAGTAGGTGGGCCCAGACCAGGGTTATTCTTTTGTAAGCAATTTTTGATGGGCTTATACAAGGGGGTTTATATATGGGGAGGGGGGGGGCTTATACATGGACAATCTTTTGTGTTAGTAATAAACAAGTCATTCATAAACAGGAAAATAAACATGTATTAATAACATGCTTTGATTAACATGGTAAGCTATAAAGACAATATTTTTAAATAGATAAAAATGCATTTTTCATACAACATTTGTCGCATCTGACATTACAAAATTGCCGACCTGGGATGTTGACAAGTCTACATTTAGGTTGGCATTGCCAAATGCGGACCTACCTTGTTTTCGAGGGCTGCTTTATATGAACAAAAGGAATGTACGTATGATTCTACATTACATGCAGTGAATGTTTGACAAAACAATTTTAGTTAAAGAAAGCAGCGAAAGAGAAGGAAAGGCAAGAGAAACTTGAGGAAAAGAAAAGACAGAAAGAAGGTCGGGCAGCTGCCATGCAAGAAAAGAAATTGCAAAAAGAAAAGGATCAGCTTCAGAAGAAGGTACCAGATCAACCCAACAATTCAATGATTGCAAACTTTTAAACTTGCATGCCTTTTGTAACCATGTACTATATATGCTTGCTAGTAATGTTCGATTTTAAACAGCCCAATCATGCAGTTACCATATTACAAACCTCAATTTAAATACAGCCCTAATCCTTGAGACATTGCTGTTTCCATCTGGAGACTCCCCATGCCATCCTTTCCTTTTGACTTACTGGTAATTTTAGTGTAATGTGCTTTATTGTCTAGGCTGAACGGTTGACAAAGTCAGCGAATAAACTTGGTGGCTGTATGAAGGTAAAATTCCTTATATATGATGTTTGTGATGTTACTCTGAGTGTGCATCCACACCGAGCAACCTGAAAATTTTGTAAAGGAAACCCTGCCATTTGAAAAGGGAGTTTTGCTATTTGAAAAGGGAGTTTTGCTATTTGAAAAGGGAGTTTTGCCATTTGAAAAGGGAGTTTTGCTATTTGAAAAGGGTGTTTTGCTATTTGAAAAGGGTGTTTTGCTATATGAAAAGGGAGTTTTGCTATTTGAAAAGGGTGTTTTGTTATTTGAAAAGGGTGTTTTGCTATTTGAAAAGGGTCAGGTTTTGCTATTTGAAAAGGGAGTTTTTCTATTTGGAAAGGGTGTTTTGCTATTTGAAAAGGGTGTTTTGCTGTTTGAAAAGAGGGTTTTGGTATTTGAAAGGGAGTTCTTGCGTTTGAATTCCTTATATATTATTGTATAAATTAAATAATGGATTACTCTGACAAATTATCCGATCTCGGACGATCTGTGCTTGTATTATTTTGCAGATCGTTCTATCTTTGTCATTCGGTATAAAGAGGGGTACAACCGTACGAGAGACATTATGCGTATAGACAATCAATCAATCAATAATTTATTCAAAGTACCTACAATAATATTGAGGCCCTTGCAGGAGATCTGGAGGTTAACCCTATATAAAGATCACCTTTACCTATTACTAAGTTAAAATACCTAAATGTTAAATTACAAGTACATGTCCATGTTCGACTTCAGTTCTCTTTTAAATTCTCTAATGTTATTTACTTCTACAACCGAGCATGGTAAACTGTTCCAGTCACTGATAATCCTTACAAATAGTGAGTATTTGTAACAATTAATTTTGGGTAGTTTAGGATTATCAAAACTACAAATTATCATGTGTTGCGCAAAATACAAACCATTAAACGTAGTAGGCGCTTTCCATTAACACGGCCAGATCAGTCAAATTGTTGAATGGAACACGAAACGTTCGGGCTTCGGACCTATCTGACCGGAAAACTTTGATAAAATTAGAATGAGGTCCATTTTCGCTAGATATTTCAGAAAAGTAGACCAGATCTTTCTTGATACAGAGTTCTGCTAAACCCAGTTTGAAGTTGCACTTGTTGTGGCTTGGAATGCAGCCGTTGTATCAAGACGTGAAAATCAGTGATTTGGCGTTGTAAACAGAGCGAGGACAATGTCTAAATTACTCATATATTGTAATTATTCAATTCTTTTCAATGATCTAGATTGTATTGGTAGCTGTTGCCGTCCTAAAATCGTAAGATCTCTTTTATGGGGAAGAGAAAACGGGACGAACTATAAATTCTTGCTCAAATTGTAACTTTTCTTAATCTGTAGTTTATCACGGCATATTTGGATCCAGCTGTTTTCTCAGAGGAAGTACCTGACCCGGACACAAATCTTATCATTCAAAAATTGATTTCAATGGAAGCAAATTACGTGATCGCATCTCAACCTTATCCAGGAAGCGTGTCGTGGCAGAGAACATCCGTGCAACACTCTGTCCAAGAAGGCGAGCTCAAGGTAGAGTTCTATGTCCTTGGATCATATGACCTTGTGTGAGAAGAATGCAGTATGGCTTTATCAAACACTGCGTGTTTTTCGGTGTCCTCCTGTGGTAACATTGGATCAGTGAGGGATGACTGGACCTCTAGGAAGAACAGTTTAGAATTGATAGAGCTATCCAGTATAAATAAAGTTAGTTTAGTTTAGGTTTCCTCTTGTAGTAACACTGGATCAATAAGAGATGATCCTTACTGGACCTCTAGGAAGAACAGTTTAGAACTGATAGAGCTATTCAGTATAAATATAGTTAGTTTAGTTTAGGTTTCCTCCTGTAATAACACTGGATCAATAAGAGATGATCCTTAAAGGACCTCTAGGAAGAACAGTTTAGAACTGATAGAATTATTCAGTATAAATAAAGTTAGTTTAGTTTAGGTTTCCTCCTGTAGTAACACTGGATCAATAAGAGATGACTCTTACTGTACCTCTAGGAAGAACAGTTTAGAACTGATAGAGCTATCCAGTATAGATAAAGTTAGTTTAGGTTTCCTCCTGTAGTAACACTGGATCAATAAGAGATGACACTTACTGGACCTCTAAGAAGAGCAATTTAGAACTGATAGAGCTATTCAGTAGAAGCTGGTACTCATTTGTTTATCTCATACTGAACGAATGTTTCTTTATTCCTGTACAGATCACGACATCTGACTGTCGCCAAGAAGAAAATGAAGTACTAGTTGTTCTTGCTGCTGAACAGTTTGCAGAAATGGTGTTCTCTTTCAAACAGGTTAAGAGCATTTAATTACGAAGTGTGTGAAATGTCTCACTAACAAATTCTACACTAGCTACATTGGTATTGCATGTACTCTTGACATCCATTTCACTAAATCAGACCACAGACTTAATAAAATAAGTTTAGTTTAGTTAATAAAGTAAGTTTAGTTTAGGTTTCTTCTTGTAGTAAAAACGATCCGCCTTTACCATTAGAGAGAACTTGTAAAAACTGAAGAGTTATTTCTTCAGGGTTATGTAGGCGGCCATGATAATCTCGAGGAGCGGCCCGAAACACTGGTGGATTTTACAAAATATGTGAAGAATATTTATCGTGGAAAGAAAGTCACTTTTCTTGTGAATGGACTAGAGAAATATATGAGGTAATTGAAATGTATGTATAATCTTGAAAGTACTGTACTTGTCATTAGTTTAAAATATACAAGTTTATCTCGTTGGAGGTAAATGCTATATACACTTAGCACTGTGCAATCTAATTTTCTTTAGAGATGTTACATTAAAACAAAAGAGAGCTTTCCGTAATGCGGCAGTGGGTGAGCCCGCTGTAGAAGATGGTACGCGGAAGAGACGTAAGAAGAAAATACAGGCGGTACTTGATGTAACTAGAACTGATATTGAAGAGGCGCTGGTAGATTTACAAATAAAAACAGACATTTGTGTTTATCAATGTGAGACGGATGAAGATGTTGCTCTGAAGATTGCAGTGTTTACAAAAGCTGTTGCAGAAAGACCTTACAAGTATGACCTACAGATCATAACAGACTGTACGGTTTAATACATTCTAGAGAGCTCTCGTTGGCCTCGTTTTCATGTGACTATTTCGTCATGTTTCCCGCACAATACCTTCAAGAAATAGGTCTCTGATTGCATTGCCAGATCTTGAGGGGAGGTGTGGGAAGGTGCGCACCTCTCTTGAGATCGTTTTGCACCTCCCCTGAAAAGTCATGCACCTCCCCTTGGGAAAGATTCAATGATAGATCAACGTGTTAATTTGACATTTGTGGTTGCTTTGGTTGCTTACACTTAGTAAGAATTGAAACAGTGATAGCCAGTATAGATATGGGAAGAACAGAAAAGTGATCCACTCGCCTCGGCGGCTCGTGAGCCACTTTTTTGTTTTTCCACATTATGACGTCATAGTGTGTATCTATAACTGAACAGACAACGAAAAAATTGTATCTGTTTGGTAAATGAATAATGTCCGAGCCAGAGGCTTTTGTCGTACAAGTATTCCACAACTAAGGCATACACTGGGAAAAAATGTGAAATCCATACTTTGACATTTACAATTGCACCACTAAATCCACAGTATATCCAAGCCATTTATATGCTATATCCATAGTATGGAAATATACAATTATTATGGATAATCAAAATCCATGCTATTTCCAATAAAGGTCCATACAATTTCCATTCTATGACCTATGGATTTTCAAAATTTTTCCAGTGCTAAGGGTATGTTTTGGTCAGTTCACCATTACTGTTTTTTTTTTACATTTTTCGTGATTTTAATTAACTTAATTTTTTCCGCAGGAAATCGTTATCCGACGGAATTGGGTTCTGTTTGGATCGGCTGGACAAAACGTCTCTTAAGGTTGGCTAAACAATATATCTGTTAAACGTTCGTTGAATGGAGGGATAAGAATGAACATAATTTTAATGTTATAGTAATAATCTCAATTATTTCCTAGGTATCGAAAGATGGCCAGGGTATGGTGAACGTTTGGCAACAACAGATACAACAATTTCGAAACGTTTCTCGTGAAATGGCCACCGCAATCGTAGCTGAGTATCCCTCGCCACAACTCTTGAAACACACCTACGAACAATGTCATTCTCTACAAGATGCTATGTTGCTGCTTGAAGATATTTTGGTATGTTTCAACTAAACTAACTTATTTATACTGGATAGCTCTATCAGTTCTAAACTGTTCTTCCTAGAAGTCCAGTAAGGATCTTCTCTTATTGACCCAGTATTACTACAGGAGGAAACCTGAACTAAACTAACTTTGTTTATACTGGATAGCTCTATCAGTTCTAAACTGTTCTTCCTAGAAGCCCAGTAAGGATCTTCTCTTATTGATCCAGTGTTACTACAGGAAGAAACCTAAACTAAAATAACTTTATTTATACTGGATAACTCTATCAGTTCTAAACTGTTCTCCCTAGAAGTCCAGTAAGGATCATCTCTTATTGATCCAGTATTACTACAGGAGGAAACCTAAACTAAACTAACTTTATTTATACTGAATAGCTCAATTCTAAACTGTCTTTGCTGGAGGTCATGTAAGAATCGTCCGATCCCTTTAGTATACATGCACAGTTCACTGGTATACACCCAACCGTGGCTGTGACGGACCACGCGGTTGGGATAAGCGGCAGAAACATGGCGGGAAAGTTTTGGCGGAGGTTTTGTAGAATATTATTTTGCTGAAGAAAAACGGAAGTTCTGTGATTACGGGCGCGTTTTTTCATTTTACTAATGATATGCAAAATCCGCTTACATATTAACCTGAGTATCAGGCTCTATTTTACAAATAGAGCCTGGCACAAAACGTAACCTGATCGCTTTCCGCCCACAGCAAAGTTTATATTTAGTATCCAATCAAAATGTCGCAGGAGAAATTTAAATTTCACACAACAACGACAACAACAATCTAATTATAGCATAGGCGCCCACTAAACGGCTGAATTTAAATTAAAACTGCAATGAACTTATAAAATTAACAAAAATAATCACAAATTAGCGAAATATATTGCAAATGTAGCTTATATTAAATCGCCACCCGATTGCTCTCTCCTCCGCAGAGGTTTCAGTGACTACAATGAGCTTTACATGGCGCTTGCCGTATTTATCAACAAACTCTGTCAACAAACAGTGACGTACACCAACACAGAAAAAAATCATATTACTAGAATACATTGCTATTGAAGGAACTAGATTCTGTTCCGAAATATCACTTACTCGAACCGTCCTGACCGCGTAGCTCAGTTGGAAGAGCATTGGGCTAGTATTCCAAAGGTCGTAGGTTCGAATCCCACCGTGGCCGGGCATGTTTTTCAAGCTCGCCCGGTGTGGATATGCACTCAGAGTAACACCACAAATATAATATTCACCTGAGTACACTACACCAACACAGAAAAAATTCAAACAGTGACGTATAATTATAAAGTATATATATATATATATTAAGTATACTTTATAACTATACGTCAGTCGATAGTGCAATCTGATGGCGATTTAATATAAGCTACATTTGCAATATATTTCGCTAATTTGCGATTATTTTCTAACTTTACTGCAGTTTTAATTTAAATTCAGCCGTTTAGTGGGCCGGCTATAATTTGTAGTTGTGATCGTTATAAAATATATCAACAATAGTATAATCTAATTAGCACCAGCCAATCAAATGACAGATTTAAAAATCGTTTGTCTAATCGGCCAATCAGCGCTCAGTCCAGATTCTGGACTGAACAACCAGGCAAAATGCCACTTTTGTGTCAGGCCGTACTTTTCTCCCCTTCGCCCACGATCAGGCGTGCCTGTGCCCTAAAAAGTACGGCCTGATACTCAGGTTACTTACATATAAGAAGAATCAATCGGGCAAAAAGACAAAGATTGACCTTTAGACTGTGTCGTCATTTGATTTAAAAGATTTCCCCTCTGGTTCTGAGAGTGCATGTGTCACTCTCTGAGTCCCTGACAATTTGCTTTTTTTAACACGGCTTCATTACATATCGCCACACGTTTTCGAGTTTGGTTTAAGCACAGCCACAGTTTATAGTCTATAGAGGTTTAAGGTATGAACTTTACAACTTTTTTATTGTATAGCGTATATATTTTTAATTATAGCTATGTTCTCATTTCCGTATATGAAAGGATGGAATGATTTTTCTCTACTAGAAAGGGATAAGTCTAAAAAATGCGCCGTTTTTGGCGACAGACCACTTTTGGGGCGACAGACCACTTTTGGAGATGATTAAACTACAGTACTTGAAATTTACAGTGTAGAGTTGGACAATATTTTTTAAAAAAATCATGTCATCATCGTCTGGCCGGGAAGTATTACGATGGACAGTTCAACAACTAATAATGTAAAAATATAGAAATATCGCCCGACCCTAGGAAAGAATAAGACGGCTCTGGATTGATAGCGATGCAACTTTATACCTGGAAAATAGAAAGAGAAGCTCCTTCGTCAATAGACCTTTCCCCTTTTAAGTGAAATTTTGATCTAGATATGTCTGGACAAAAATTTCATCACAGCTTGAAAGAGCATAACAAAATTAGTAATATTCCGAAGTTTCGTTGAGAAATGTTATAAAATGCGGATAATATAGCCCTGCGAAGTTTGCCGTTTTTCAGTCATTTTGTATTACAAATGGGAAATAGATAATCAGTTTGATCATCTGATTATCCAAAGTACAAATTTTCTGTCATGTAGAAACGTCATAAATCGAAAGTGAGCAAAGTAAAAATAGATTTAATTGTATATGGTTAATCATTCATGCACGTCGAAATTTATTCTAGAAAAGTTTCCCAGCAATCAGGACCAAAATCGTCTGGGCAATTCACAAACATTGGCCTCTTAATTATTGGCTCTTTTTACATAAATCGCCCTTACCTTAAACCAATGCTAAATCAATATTTTTACCAAAATAAGAAGTGTCCGTCATATCGTTATGCAACATTGAAGGGGG